AAGTATCATCAGAAGCTAAAGACAATTTATATAAACCATCAACTAAAAGTCCATAACCAACAATTTGGGAGTTTAATGTCAAATTTATTTTTCTATCTCCAAAAATAACATTAAAACCAAGTTTATCCAAACAAGAAACAGAAATCAAATTTCTCCTAAAAGAGGGTACATAAAATGTATTATTCAAAATCAACTCAAATCCATAACTTGAAACTAAACTGACATCTCTCACTTTCTTTACTGAGACTTCAAGATCATTTCCTACCCTAAGCTTGTTTTTCCTCAAATTGGGTTCCCTCAGATTTTTGAACCCGTGTAATGACACAGCAATATGAGTTGTGAAACCACTATCAATCCTCCAAGAGTCTATAGGAACACCAACTAGATTAGATTCATAACAAACAAGAGCTAGACAATTACCTTCAGATTTGTTATTATTTTTTAGCCAAGCCTTGAACTTTTCACAATCAAATTTCTTATGTTCTTTCTTTTTAATCAAAAACACCAAATACTCTTCTTAAAGACTATTGGTTTAGGTCCTCCTACATTGTGGCATTGACTCTTACCTAGTTTTCCTGAACCTCAATATTGATGAGAAGCATTAGAAGACTTATTTGCATTTTTCCAATTTCCCTTGCCAGAAGTGGGTTTACCATGGACAGATAAAAGAGCTATGTCACTCTTTTCTTTCTTAAGTTTCTCTTCCTCAGCAACACACTTGGTAATGAGGTGGTTCATACTCCAATTTGCACCAATGGTATTATGGGCAGTTTTGATTTGGGTAAAATCAACAGGTAGGCAATTTAAGGCATATTCGACAATAAATTTTTCATTAAGGTCAATTTGGTGAGATTTCAGCTTGGTTTGAATGTGAATCATCTTCATAATGAACTCCCTTACTCCCCCAACATTGTTGTATCTCATGTCTATCAACTGTTTCATCAAACATTCGAACTCAGCGTTATCAGATACCTGGTATCTCTATCCCAAAGCAGTGAGAAACTCCTTAGCTGTACCTTTCTCTGGAAGACCACTCAAAAGATGTTCAGAGACTGTTCTCTTGATAGCGATTAGGCTCAACATGTCAGACCTCTCCCACTGAGCTAAACGCTTCTTTTGTTTAGGTGTGCTGTTTGCATTAATTGCAGGCTTACTCTCAAGCAAGGCTAAGTGAAGATCAGCAATTCCCAAAGAGAAGTCCAAATCTTATTTTCACTTGCTATAGTTTGACCCAATTAGGATCTCAATGGATGCAGAACAATTATTCATAGAAAAATTCACTGATAAGATAAAACATTAACGCATTAGATCATATCATAAGACAAGATATACCTTAAGATGAAAAAATAAGCTATCAAAGTGAGGCCCATAAAATAGCTATTCTTCGTTGGGTAGAATACACTAACCAAGGTGATTACTCAGGTCAATACCTCAGGTGGGTTAATCCATGAACACACACCAAGTTCAGAAAATTATCTCCTTTGGGAGGACAAATCTCTCAACTTAATGCATTTTCCAATAACTCCATCCAAATTCAACTTTCAACCAATACATACAACTACCCCTTTTGGGCAGGCAATCACATGCAAAGATTAAAAACATTCTTCAAATTACAAAAAAAACTTTATGAATTAATACAAATGGTCCCACTTTGGTGGTAACGATTTATAGCAATTCACAAAATTCTTTGCACAGGAATCAATATTCTCTTGTCCAAGTTATGAAACAGACGAATGCATCAAAGTTGTTCTTATTTATTGTTCTTTAATCATCAATTACATTTACAACATGTTTATACTTAAACAATAACAATTAAATATTAATAATGAATTTATAACAACAGAAATTTGAATAACAAGTAATCATAATCTCATCAATTATAATGCAAGTATACGTGAGATAGAATATCTTACCATAATAATGTAACAAGAATTTTAAATTTTAAAGTGAAAACATTAAAGTGATATCTCAGCAATGCATTTGAAACACACGCAATGAAAAATTGAAAACAATAGACGTATTTGAATTCAACACATAAACATAATTGAAAAGTATTAAAATAATCAGCAATATGTTGCAGCAATTGAAATATATGCAATAACAACAGCAACAAAAAAATTTTTAACGTGAATTTGAATTCATGCATTTAAAGGCGGTAGCAATTCTTAGAATCAACATTACAATTCAATATATATTAACGACGCAAATAGGTAATAATTCAATAGATAAACAATGAAAACATAACTGAATACAAGCATCGTTGATACGTCAAACGCAAATAAGTAATATATTAACAATGCAAATAATATTGAATTATTAAAACATCATTGAATACAAACAACAAAAGAAAACAATACATTACTTACAGTTTAATTCAAATTCAGATTAATTAAAGGTTAATAACTGAATTCCAAATCATGTAATTCAAGCTCTGATACTAAATGTAGCACAAATTTAATAGGATCTAATTACATGAATTTAGACTATCAATTGAAGAGCAATTTGTAGAGTCACTTACTTGTTGTAGACATCGTTGATTGTGCGTGGACTTATGTGGGATGCGATCCTTTCCAGCGAGAAGCCAAGAACTTTCTTTGCCTAATCACCTTCTCCTAATCTTAGGTTCTCAATGGGACAAACCTAGAGAGCAATAGAATATATTACCGTGACGGCAAAAGAGACTTAGCCACTATATTTATTAACCCTAGGCAAATAGAATATATTACCGTGACGGCAAAAGAGACTTAGCCACTATATTTATTAACCCTAGGCACTTCCCATCATGAGCCTAGAGGTTAGGCCCACACTGAATTCCACTCTAGATCAACATTAAGTGTCTAAAGCTCAAATAATTGATCACATTATTAACAGCCTTAAATATCAAATGATTCTCAATATTAGCCAATTTTTTTGACAAAATAAAAAATTATAATTGATTATAGCCCATAATAAATTTTATAAGAAATTCTAATAAGATTTAACTTCACATTGAGTTACTTGAAGATTCTTGGAACATGACCCTGTCAATTTAAGCCATATAATATTCTTTATAAATCAACATTAAATATTCATGGGATTCAAAGTCAGAGGATTTAGATTGATTTAAGAATTGACAAGCTTGTATATGAAGTGATATTATTTTGTCCCACATAAATACAAGCATGTATGGAGTGTATATATATTACTGAGTACTGATTTGCCATAGGTGGACACAATGGACTATAATCTTGTTATTATACTTTAGGTTAACACTATATGCAAGGATTATGGAGTAGTCTGCATTCGCAGAGAGGGACAAGATGTTAAGACTATATCTAAAGATGAAATTTTGAATGAAAATCAAGTATGTCACCTTTCAAACTTGTCCTAGTTGCCTATATGCATCTAATGAAATGTTGCTTATGTATTTTGGACATTTTTAAATATGTCTATTCATGTATTTGTATTTGACTGTATTAAGGTCAAATTATAGGCCAACTGATGAAATAATTTTTGTGATGTCCCATTTGCAAATGCATAATGATGTTTAGTCGACATGTGAATTTCAAATTGAATGCTTAAAATTGATAACTGATTAGTAATGAAATAAAGATTTTCGAGACCAAACTTTGTTTTAGCATTTTGATATGTTATTTATTGAACAATAATGAGGCTTGGATTGAATTTCTTTGCTTGTCAGCTTTTATGCATATATAAATATAAATTTGCCACTACAATTTTTTAGGATAATATCAAAGTTGTGGATGAACTTGTACCAAATCAAATTATCTCAACGAGAGTAAGGTAAAAATTCTACGACTTTGTTTACTTGTTAAAACATTAATTTTTATTTTCTAAAAGCACCATAATTTAGAAAGGAAAAGGGAGGCATTGTTCAATTTTCTTATTGTATTTTTCACTAATTTCAGGGATTGCATTGCAAGAGGGTTATCAATAAATTGGATCTGGATTTAGTGCAGTTTCTGCCAAATTTTTTTATGTATTTTTGCATTTTCGCTTCAGCAAAAATGCAAATTTTTGCCAAAATGCACGATGCAATTTCCACGGGAACTGCACTGAATTCGGGTCCCAATAAATTACCTTACTGCGGATGAAGTGATTGACTATATCAGACAACAAAAATTATACTTGAACTTAGACGATAAATGATTACTATTGTTGTTCATGACATTCTGTATGATTCAGTTTGGGTCTCTGCAATCCCCATAAATTATTAACTGAGCCTATTTTCAATAAACAATTGAATATTGAGTTGTAGATTTGCAGATAAGTAAACATTGAAAAATCAATAAAGCTAATATCAAATATTTTTTTGAGTATTGTTAAATTTGCTTGCTTTAACCTAATTACATCCATTCTCAAATGAATAATCAAAATACCAGTACGATACTAATATTTATCTTAATTGGATATTTGAATTTTGTTATCTTCTGTCAATAGTTGCATATACAAGCACATAAATGACAATATTTTTTCAGACAATAAAAAAATGAGAATATATTAAGATTTATATATTTTTTATTTAACTTATCTTGTATTTATTTTTTTATTTTTCAAATTTTAAAAATTATTTTCAATTTTGAAGATCTTATTTCTCTAATTTAATATTATAAAATACTTATTAAGAGTAACTTTGTTTTTAATTTTGAAGATCTTGTTTCTCTAATAAATAATAAAATCTATTAGCTATGTTTGTGGAGCTTTAGTGTTGTAAACAATTCACTAAAGCAGAGAAAGAATGTGAAAGAAGGAAGATTAATATATGGTGAAGTAACTAATGTTAATTACTCATATTTCAAAAGTCCATTAATGAATGTTAATTTAAATAAAAATAGTCATACGGAAAGCTTGCAATAATGGCATTATAAAACTTATTAATAGCAATGAATATTTTGAAATGTAAATCATTATAGTAATTATCATAATTTTTAAATAATAAATATGAAATTGAAATTAAAAAAACTTGTTACTTTTATGGGTTTTGGAAGAATAAAAAAGGGGGGGGGGGGGGGGGGGAAGCAAACGGAGATGTGCATGACAGCCTTGTGATTGTGACACCGTTCCTCTTTCTCTCCGTCACCGTCCCTCAAACCCCATACGGCGCCGTTTCCTCTTTCCTCTGTCGTTTCTTTCCCTTCTCCCCTCTCTCTGTACCTCTCGATGCGTTTCTTTATCTGATTCCGCGTTGTCGTTTTCTCTCTGCTTTGCCTTCGCTTCGAGTCAACGCTCCTTTTAATTGCCGTTTCGTCGATTCATACACTCAAAGCACCCTCTTCACGCGGTTTTCTCTCAGGTACTTCCCTTCCCAATTTCCCTCTACTCATCGCTGAAATTTCCTATAGACGCGCGCACGTGATGACTCCATATCGCACTGTTATTTCGTTGAAAGAAACCTCGTATTCAATTTTACTTTATTTTAGTGTTTTAGGTTTTCATCGCTGTGAAACGGTGGTTAAATTTATTTTCATGTTCTGCAGGTTTTAATCGGTGTCGTTTCATGAATAATTGAGTCACGTGCGGGAATTAGTTTTGGTATTTTTCCTTTCTCGTTTTGCTAGTAACCGAATTGCATTATGTGCTTAACAAGTGTTTATAATTTAAATGTAAATTGTTATTGTTTATGTAAGTATATGTAGTGGAAGATTGGAACTGTGAATTGTTTTGGAAATAAAGGTGTTCTTATTTGATTCCTTGTTTGTAAATTGTGTTGGTGGTAGAGTTTGATGAATTTTCTCTCTCTGCACAAATAAATAGAAATACGGATAGTAGTTTTTAATTACTTATTTTTGGTTACTGGAAGAGCAATGGAAGGAAATAATGTCCAAGCCCTTTAAAGGCTGAAAGCTAGAATTTGAGAACTAAAATGTTCAAATTTCTTAATATATCCTAAGGACAATTGAAAATTTCTGATTATATCCTAGGCTCTGAAACCAGTTTTGAATAATAGTAAAGAGGACTATAAAAATATTAAACTCTATGAGAAAGGCATCCTACAAACTACAGTCTTCTAACACTGTGACATTCAGTAGCATAAATTAAATAATAGTCTTATTCAATACCAACACATCAAATCAAACTTCTTTTACCTGATGGCATGGATGCTACATGTACAAATAAAATTTTAAAGTACTATAGCTAAAATGTTTCTTGGACACAGAAGCTATACATTCTCCTAAAGCAACAAAATAACGAGTTTATATAGACATACAAACTATGTCCTCCATAGTCCAAAAAGACAGAAGTTTGATAAGATATAAACACTTCTATACTAAGAAAATCTTTTATGTAATTGTGCATTGTGTAGCTAGAAAAGCAATGTCAAGATGCTATGAAGTTGGGTAAATTGCATTCTCTCCTAAGAGATGCTTAAACTATTTTACACTACCCACGATTTTGAAAAATTACACTCCCCTTCTTAAAGATATTAATATGAGCTACACGTCTATTTTAATGTCAACGAGTCTCTTAGGGGCAATTTTTTCCCATTGCTCAGCATCATTAATGGCTAACTTGAACCTCTACTATAAACTTTTGGACTTCATAAGATGAAATTAAGATGAAGTTCCAAAGCCAATGGTTTGGGAGTTCAAAATTTTATTATCATTTTCCAAAGTCTCAAAAGTGATAACAATGTTGAAAGAGAGAGAGAAAAAGTCTGTGAGAAGGGTGGTGTTGTTGCTTGTTCTAGGAGCATCCACAGCCATGCATCAGAGTAGTGGGCAATTCTCATTAGTGTTTGTAGGCAAAAAAAGAAATATTTCATTAGAGTTTCCAACTTTTTCTTTCTTTCTTTTTCTTTCTTTCTTTTTCTTCAATTGTACTTGTAATATTTGTTAGCCAACAACACTGCTAGGCTCAGACTTCAGAGGCCCCCATGTTCTCTGATATTTTTGTATGGACTTTTTTCGTTGATTGAAAGCAGATATAGATCCTTCTCTATTATTTTAATTCATTTGGTATTAATTGTAATGGTTTCAGGTTATGGATGCTCCATTGCCATTGGATAAATTAGCTTTAAATTTGATTAGTAACGAACCTTCCCCTAAAAACACAAGAAGGTATGTTCCTTTACTATTTATTGATTTTGGTTAATTCTGTGGTTGAGTTTCTGTTGACCATATTATAAATTATGACAGTCTTTCTCTCTCTGTAAAAAATAGCAGCAAGGTATATGTGATTCTGGTTGCAACTGGAAGCTTTAATCCACCTACTTTCATGCATTTGCGCATGTTTGGTGAGTTGTGTTGAGAGCTCACATTCTTTCCTTTGTTTATGCTTCCCCATGTTTGCATTAGTGAAAATTGTTGTTCCACTAGTGTTTGACATGAATATTGTTTGGGTGCTTATTAAACTAAAATCTGAATAATTTTAACTCCTTCCACTCTTGAACAAAGAAGAAATATCTCCAATGTAGATTCGTTCTTGAATGAATTTATCATTGAACAGCTTGATTTTTATTTTTTTTAGAAGAATTAAGGACAACAAAATATTAAAATTTCAGATAAATCTGTATTTGGTGAGAAAAAAGTGTGGTGGTTTCTTAATAGTGTGGTAGCCAATGATTCATGACATGATAATCACTTTACTATTTACAGTAGTTTTAAGGATAGAAATATGTAGAACTCCCTATGATGAGAATATAAAAGTACAGAATCTGCTGAGTTGGCATTTTGTGATCAAACATATGAAAACTGTTGGTAAAGTTATACTAATATTGGCTTTTATGTCTACCAGCACCAAGATTAATGTGTGTGTGTTGGGCTTTGTTTTGTTATTGAAATTCTAAGCTTTACAAAGATGTTAAAAAGCATTGGTTTTGCATGGGAGCAATTCATACCTATGCATCTTCCTATATTGTTATTTGTTAGTCATGATCTCTATCTCCAAATTTCTACTTTCTAAATGATGGTAAAAGTTATATTTAGAATATTTCTTCAAATTCACTTCAAATACTAATTTCCTGATTTTCTTTAACTTAATTTCTTGAATTATGTGCAATGTGATTTTTAATATAATTTATCTTTTGCTCAACTGTTTTTTTTTTTAATTATGGATGTTACCCTTCTAGAGCTTGCAAGAGATGTGTTGAATTCAGAAGGATACTGCGTAATTGGAGGCTACATGTCACCTGTAAATGATGCATACAAGAAAAAGGTACATTGTTGAATTGTCAAGCAAGGGGATAAAAGATCCTTCATTTATTATATCCATTCATGTGCATCTGTAAAACTTGTAAGCAAAATAAATGATTGAATAGGGGAAAACATCTACTTGGCATATGGGTAACAGGGAAGTTATTATGAGTCGGTGAGCAATCTATTTGAGGTTTAAAACACTCGTTTGATTAATTTTTTCCTTTCAACAAAGAGATTAAATCTTTAGATGTTCTTCATGCAATTATCATTTGTATTTTCTAGCTTGTGTTAAGTAATACTATTATATTGGTCTAATTGCATTTCGCTTGTACTTTGATATAGGGCCTAATGTGTGCTGAGCATCGACTACAATTATGTCATTTAGCTTGCAAAAGTTCAGATTTTATAATGGTTGATCCATGGGAGGTAAACTACTCTTTTTAGCTCCTAGATTGCATGTCTATCTATTCCTAATGCATGTAAAAAGCTTTATTATTCAAAGAATTGAATTTGAGAGACCATGGTATGATATCATTATCATGAGTAATGCAAGAAATACAAGAGTCTGACTAACCTGATTTCTTAATATTTTGCATTTTATCTGGATATAAACTCCTACAGGCAAATCAGATCACATATCAACGCACTTTAACTATTCTCTCCAGAGTTCACAATTCTATTAGTGAGACTGGGTTGGTATCTAAAGGTAGGCTCAATAAATCTGTCTTCAATTAATTGAAAACACATTAATCTAATTACCATCTTAGATTGCTCTCTTCCCCCAACCCCTACTGTTGATGAACTTCTGAAAAATATGTGGTGGCATGGTGCTACGGATTAAGTTTTAGGAATACTTTGAGATTGAAATGATTAATATATAGATTTTACTGTTTGGACATGTTAACCTCCCTCTAGTACTTTAGGTGCTCAATTGACTCGAGTGTTTTGAGGAATTTCTTAGTGCTATTTGTAATATTGATACGTATTGACCGGGCAATCAGGTTTTGTATGGTACTAAAGTCTTTAGAAGTGATTTATGCTATATATTCATTTTTTTGTAAATGTGACCTAGTGTAAACTGTAAAAAAAGCTTTAATAGTTCCTTTCATTGAAAAAAAAAAAATTATGCCAGGCCATGGTTTCGTTCTATATATGTGACAATGTTATAGTAAAACTAATATGATCACTTGCTTTTGTATTGATTAATGTAGAATCCCTGAAAGTCATGCTTCTCTGTGGTTCTGATCTCTTTCATTCTTTTGGCATTCCTGGATTCTGGATTCGTGACCAGGTACCTATTCATTTAGTATAAATAGAAAAATCTAATATTGTTTATCATAGATTAGCTTCACATTGAGTTACTTGAAGATTATTGGAACACGACCCTGTCAATTTAAGCCACATAATATATTTTATAAATCAACATTCAATGGTCATGGGATTCAAAGTCAGAGGATTCAGATTGATTTCAGAATTGACAAGTTTGTATATCAAGTGATATAATTTTGTCCCACATAAATACAAGCATATATGGAGTATAGATATATATATAATGCTGAGTACTGATTTGTCATAGGTGGACACAATGAACTATAATTTTGTTATTGTACTTTAGGTTATGACTATATGCAAGGATTATGGAGTAGTCTGCATTCGCAGAGAAGGACAAGATGTTGAGAAGACTATATCTAAAGATGAAATTTTGAATGAAAATCAGGTAATGCACCTTTCAAACTTGTCCTAGTTACCTATATGCATCTAATGAAATGTTGCTTACGTATTTTGGATATTTTTAAATATGTCTATTCATGTATTTGTATTTGACTGTATTAAGGTCAAATTATAGGCCGATTGATAGAAATAATTTTTGTGATGTCCCATTTGCAAATGCATAATGATGTTTAGTCGACATATGAATTTCATATTGAATGCTTAAAATTGATAACTGATTAGTAATGAAATAAAGATTTCTGGAATCAAATTTTGTCTTAGCATTTTGATATGTGTTATTTATTGAACAATAATGAGGTTTGGATTGAATTGCTTTGCTTGTCAGCTTTTATGCATATATAAATATAAATTTGCCACAACAATTTTTTAGGATAATATCAAAGTTGTGGATGAACTTGTACCAAATCAAATTAGCTCAACGAGAGTAAGGTAATAATACTACAACCTTGTTTACTTGTTAAAACAATAATTTTTATTTTCTAAAAGCACCATAATATTAAAAGGAAAAAGGAGGCATTGTTCAATTTTCTTATTGTATTTTTCACTAATTTCAGGGATTGCATTGCAAGAGGGTTATCAATAAAGTACCTTACTGCGGATGAAGTGATTGACTATATCAGACAACAAAAATTATACTTGAACTTAGACGATAAATGATTACTATTGTTGTTCATGACATTCTGTATGATTCAGTTTGGGTCTCTGCAATCCCCATAAATTATTAACTGAGCCTATTTTCAATAAACAATTGAATATTGAGTTGTAGATTTGCAGATAAGTAAACATTGAAAAATCAATAAAGCTAATATCAAATATTTTTTTGAGTATTGTTAAATTTGCTTGCTTTAACCTAATTACATCCATTCTCAAATGAATAATCAAAATACCAGTACGATACTAATATTTATCTTAATTGGATATTTGAATTTTGTTATCTTCTGTCAATAGTTGCATATACAAGCACATAAATGACAATATTTTTTCAGACAATAAAAAAATGAGAATATATTAAGATTTATATATTTTTTATTTAACTTATCTTGTATTTATTTTTTTATTTTTCAAATTTTAAAAATTATTTTCAATTTTGAAGATCTTATTTCTCTAATTTAATATTATAAAATACTTATTAAGAGTAACTTTGTTTTTAATTTTGAAGATCTTGTTTCTCTAATAAATAATAAAATCTATTAGCTATGTTTGTGGAGCTTTAGTGTTGTAAACAATTCACTAAAGCAGAGAAAGAATGTGAAAGAAGGAAGATTAATATATGGTGAAGTAACTAATGTTAATTACTCATATTTCAAAAGTCCATTAATGAATGTTAATTTAAATAAAAATAGTCATACGGAAAGCTTGCAATAATGGCATTATAAAACTTATTAATAGCAATGAATATTTTGAAATGTAAATCATTATAGTAATTATCATAATTTTTAAATAATAAATATGAAATTGAAATTAAAAAAACTTGTTACTTTTATGGGTTTTGGAAGAATAAAAAAGGGGGGGGGGGGGGGGGAAGCAAACGGAGATGTGCATGACAGCCTTGTGATTGTGACACCGTTCCTCTTTCTCTCCGTCACCGTCCCTCAAACCCCATACGGCGCCGTTTCCTCTTTCCTCTGTCGTTTCTTTCCCTTCTCCCCTCTCTCTGTACCTCTCGATGCGTTTCTTTATCTGATTCCGCGTTGTCGTTTTCTCTCTGCTTTGCCTTCGCTTCGAGTCAACTCTCCTTTTAATTGCCGTTTCGTCGATTCATACACTCAAAGCACCCTCTTAACGCGGTTTTCTCTCAGGTACTTCCCTTCCCAATTTCCCTCTACTCATCGCTGAAATTTCCTATAGACGCGCGCACGTGATGACTCCATATCGCACTGTTATTTCGTTGAAAGAAACCTCGTATTCAATTTTACTTTATTTTAGTGTTTTAGGTTTTCATCGCTGTGAAACGGTGGTTAAATTTATTTTCATGTTCTGCAGGTTTTAATCGGTGTCGTTTCATGAATAATTGAGTCACGTGCGGGAATTAGTTTTGGTATTTTTCCTTTCTCGTTTTGCTAGTAACCGAATTGCATTATGTGCTTAACAAGTGTTTATAATTTAAATGTAAATTGTTATTGTTTATGTAAGTATATGTAGTGGAAGATTGGAACTGTGAATTGTTTTGGAAATAAATGTGCTTCGTAACAGAATTGCAATGGACGTAACTGATTTTGCCACGTTCCGATTTGCTGGTGCAAGGAGAAGCATTTGTTTTCTGTCAATTTTTATTTAGAGGTGGTGTAAATGTATGTGTCTTGAGTGTGTTTTTAGCCTGGGTTCTTCTATGATTAGTTGGTAGTAAGTTGTGTGGGTGGTGAATTTAGTTGGATGTTCTCTCATTAGAACTGTGTCTTGAAGGTCCGAACGACACTTTGCCGTTGTTGATGGAGCGGCTGGGGAGCTTCAATGGCAGTCAGCATGTTATAGAAATAGCTGGTAGTGCAGATGCTTCCACCTCATCTGCCTCACCTCACGATAGACATTTTAGTGGTGTAGATGCTGCACAGCATGAAGAAAGAATAAGTGGAGTGCGGATGCCTCTTTCTCAGCCTTCGGTTTCTACCTCCAGTGTATCTAATGGAACAAATAGTAGGAATTCTTCATTTATAAGACGGGGGGATACTCGTCGGAATAGGAGTCCTGTGCATTCAGGGTTATGGATATCTATTGAGCTGGTCCTCTTAGTGGGCCAGATTGTTGCATCTATAGTTGTTTTGTCTTTGTCAAGGCATGAGCATCCACGTACCCCGTTGTTTCAATGGATCGTAGGTTATGCTTCTGGATGTGCTGCTACCCTCCCTCTGCTTTATTGGCGGTATTATCATCATAACCATATGCGAGAGCAAGATTCATCTCTATCGCGGCAAACATCTCCTCGGATTAATGATCCTTCAGGGACACTTCTTTCCAGTTCCAGAACTAATGGAGGAGAAGATGGTCATCCTATTACTGTGTCCTCCAGAAGTATTCAAGCTTCAGTGTTGATGAACAGAAGGTAGTGAGTTAGTTACCATTTTTTAATTACTTTTAACAATGTTTGAATGACACCTTTCTTCTTTAGCATGAATCGATGAAAGTTCTGTTGTGAATTCATCATAGAGCTTAATATTTCTTTAGTCCTCTTTTCTATTATTGAAAACTGGTTTCATAGCCTAGATATAAATTGAGCTTAGAACACATTAAGAAATTTGAACATTTTAGTTATCAAATTCTGGTTTTTAGCCTTGGAAGGGATTTGGTTTGGACACTGTATCCTTCCCTTGCTCTTCCAGTAACCAAACCAAAGTAACTAAAAAGTATTACAAAGTGCTATTGCTAGGCATCTGTCTTTTTTCTTGTGTTGCATCCCTTTAAAGCCAACCAAACAATGAAAATGATGGATTACTTTGAACTATTGCTTTGACTTTCACAATGATCATTGTCTCAGTTTGGATGTAAAACATATATTAATGTAAAATCATTCTTCAATATCCTTAAATGTGCTGATAACACTCGATAAAAAATAAGGTCATGTAGACATTGTTTTGCATTGTATCACTGCTTGTGGTGCATTTAGAAGTTTGAAGTTTGCTCCTCATTATTGTGAATACAGTTGTATCAAAATTGCTTTTAGATCTTTGTAGTTATATTAAGTTAATATGCATTCATATATACAACTGTACAAAGTTTGTATGGTACATCATACATGCTGACATATTCACACGTATATAAATGTTCTTTTAAGCATATATAAAGACATCATGCTTCCTGCATAATACAAGGTGTGGTGGGCATAATCCATAACTGAAAAGTTGTGGCTAACTTATAATTAATGCATGCTAAGTTTTTTCTCTCTTTTCTTTCTATGTGTAATTGAGGTCACGTTTTGTCAAGAATACTTAAGTTATCAATGTTAGCCTTTTTTACTCTATTTTGTAATGAAGGTGTGATACTGATTACCGGATAAAAATATTGAAATTGATCTTGCCTGTAATAGATATTGAAGAAGCTAAGGTTGCGTTTTGAAAACTGATATGAAGGAAACATCCTATTGTAATATCTACATGTTATTTTGCCTCTCCATCGCTTGTTACCATGTTCCCCCACTCACTCTAATTTCACTGTTTATTCATTATGAAATTTTAGCATATTTTACATGGTTATAATTTCCAATAACATTGAAATTTGTAAGTATCTTTTGACGCTGCTAAGCCCTTGTCCACTCTTGCACTGCAGAATGAAAACACTAGTGGAATACTTCAAAATATCCTTAGATTGCTTTTTTGCTGTATGGTTTGTTGTTGGAAATGTATGGATCTTTGGGGGACATTCGTCTGCTGATGAAGCTCCTAACTTGTACAGGTATAGCCTTTCATTCACTTGTGGGTCTAATCTTCTGTTTTTTTAGAGGCTCTAAATTATATTTGCTTCACTTCACTTGGCAGGTTATGTATAGTGTTTCTTGCATTTAGTTGTATTGGCTATGCTATGCCCTTCATTCTCTGTTCAACAATCTGCTGTTGTCTTCCTTGTTTAATTTCCATCCTTGGGGTTAGAGAGGATTTGTCACAAAACAGGGGGGCAACCTCTGAATCCATTAATGCTCTGCCAACTTACAAGTTCAAGACGAAGAAAAATAAAAGAAATGGTGAAGGTAACATAGCTGCTGAAGGTGGAATTGTTGCTGCAGGAACTGAAAAAGAGCGTGTGATTTCTGGAGAAGATGCAGTAAGTACCATCTGATCTTTACATATTTAGGATACTTCACTAAAACTTTATAGGGTAAATTATGCTACCTGCTTTGGGAAATGCATAAATTACACTCCCCCCCCCCCTTCCCCCTCCCCTCTTCAAATTTGAAAAATAACATTCCCCTTCCGTAAGAGATTAAAATGTACCATACTTTAGTCTGTTTTAAAATGAATGTCTTAGGTGGATTATACGTGATGAGATAAAAATAAAGTATGAGTTAGTTTCTGCTAGTGACAGCCAAGTGGTTAGGAATCTCTAATTGTAGTAGTTGGGAGGAGGCAAGTAACAACCACCAAGCCTTATCCCACCGGGTGGGAGAGGAGTGCATGTCATGACAGATTTTTTTTGGGGGGGGTGGGGGTGGCTTTCGTAATTCTCGCCAGGACTCAAATTGTAGATCCTGGAACAAGAGAAAATTGCAATAAGATTGGAAATAAGAATTGAAAGAAGGCGGGAGAGGAGTTCATGGCGTGACCAATTATAATTGAAGGAGGGAAGGGTAGCTCCTGTAATTCTCACCAGACTCTGGTCTACTCTGTCGGATCAAAATTTAGATCCTTGAGAAAATTGCAAGAAAATTCCATTCTTTATGTGGAAAGAGGCTTTAAAAAGCTTGATGAAACAATTGGATGAAGATTGATAACAGGATGGGAGAGATTGGGAAGTGCAAGAAATATGTCTTCCAAAATTGGAAGAGATTTTTGAAAGATTATTGCAGAAAGCCAGAAACCTAAAGGTGGGGGAATTGGGTGAACTCATCAAGAGAAGGTTGCATGGTAGAAGGGGGCACAAGGACTGGAAGGAGCAAAAAGTGATGGAGGAAATTCAAAATTGCATTGTTATTGAGAGATGACGCATGAGGATGGTCAATTGGGTTGGTCAATATTTTGACCTCATGGGGTGGCTATTAGTGAGAGTGCAGGCTAGGATGGAGGTTGTGGAGGGAAGAGCCTTGTAGTGGTGGTTCTGATGGTGGAATCTCTACTCGCAGAACCCAACATGGATGGACTTTTGGGATGCAGTGATTTGAAGGTTTAAACAGCGTGACAAGAGATCTGCCCAGACCATGATTTTAAAATATGCACTTCCATATAATGTTGATGCAAGAGAGATGCAAGAGAGGAAAGAAGGGGCAAATGAAGAGATGCTGGAGGAACAAGAGGAAATGGACTCTAAGATGATTTTAAAATATGCACTTCCATATAATGTTGATGCAAGAGAGGAAAGAAGGGGAAAATGAAGAGATGCTGGAGGAACAAGAGGAAATGGATTCTAAGACATTGCAGCTGTCCATGTACTTCATGGGATTGAATGGGAACGCACTGAGAGGATCATAAACAGTTTGTGGCAGTGTGTGACATTTTCAAAAGAACAACTCTCAAACCTTATCACCTCTTGCAGCCATTACTAATGCCCACAAAGATGTGATCAAATATCTCCATGGATTGAATTGAAGGGTTCCCCAAATCAAATGGGAAGACACAACATAGTGGAGGTGGACTAATTAATGAAATACCCTCATTTATTATACCTCATGACAACACATCCATTTTCTGCCAAGGATGTTGCTGAAATCTTCCTTAAAGAGGTATATTGTCTACATGGAGTTCAGGCCTGATAGCCTTCCCTGTTTTTGCAATAAGATAAACTCTTCCTCAGTAACTTTTGAATTGAGCTGTTTTGTCTTGCTGGAACCAGGCTTAAGTTCAGTTTATCATCCACAGTTCAACGGCCAGATTGAAGTTGTGAACAGGGATGAATTTTTGTACAGTGCCCATTATCGCAGATCTATCAAAGTTGCTCCTTTAAAACCCCTATATCGACAGGATTCATCCTCTGTTACTTAAAGATACTACAATTCACCCACAGTGAAAGTGAAGAGCTGTTGGAGGAGTTGAAATCTAATTTGCTTCAGGCTCAGGATCCAATTTGAACCCAAGCTGATAAATATAGGAAGGTCATTGAGTTTATCTTAAGATGCAACCTTTCAGACTTAAGTCCCATGCCAAGAGGGATGATGAGTGAGAGTTGAAATTCGTAGGGCCTGTTGTCTATCACCTACATAGCCTGATCACTGTAAAATTCTCTTGCGGTTCTAAGTTTCTCTCTGAAAGGTGTTGTACTGCTGTAACCTCATGTTTCCCTACTTTTGCCTTCAATGTTGACTAAGGAGTGGAAGTTACAAGTTCAATCAGCCGAGTTCCTAACTCCCAGACTTAACACTTCTGGTATTGTGACGGTGCTCATCTGATTGTAAAATATACAAGATTTTGTGAATACCTGGGTTTTGGGAGTCCTTTGTGGCAGGAGCATTTTCCTTGTAACCTTCATAAGGACGATATGAAACTCTTTTTGGTGGTGGTCATGAAAGAGAGGGGGGGGGGGTGTTATTCATAAAGCCCCTTACTGAGTTGGGGAGGGAAAATGCAACATCCAACTGAAGTAGTTGGGAATAAGAGGGAAAATAACAGAATAAAAAGGTGGGAGAGGACTATAGGGTATGACAGATTGTAAATTGGTAGTGGGGCCAGGGTTCTCTAATCCAGGAATTGAGAGATACTTGTACTGCAAGTCTGTAATTTTCAGTAACTCCCTTTAGGAACCAAATCAGATCCTGACAAGCTCTCAATAAAATTCCATACTTTTTTCATCATATTTTCTGATCCAGTTATGAACGAGCTTTTCAAAGACATTTTCTCTCTCTCCTTGAAAATTGTTAACTAGAGACTTCAGATGATAATGAAATTGTGAACACCATAACCATTGGCTTTGGATCTTCATCTTACTTTTATCTTGTGAAAGTACAAAAGGTGATAGTAGGGGTTCAAATTAGCCATTGATGATGCTGTTATAGGAAAAAATTACCCCTAAGAGACTCATTCACGTTAAAAGTGACTAAACGTATAGCTGAAATTAATCTCTTTTTTTTTTTGGGGGGGGGGGGGGGGTGTAATTTTTCAAAATAGAGGGGAATATATAATATAGTTTAACCAACTCTTAGGGTAGGATGTACGTCATTACTCAAATTCATAACATCCTGACATTGCTTGTTTGGTTATAGTTTGTATGTCTGTATTAACTAATTTTTTGTTGCTTGAGGAGAATGGATAGCTGCTATGTCTAAGAAACCTTTTAACCGTAGTATCTTAAAAATTTCATTTGTAGAATGCTTCCATGCCATCAGGTAAAAGAAGTTTGGTTTGATGTATTGGTGTTGAATTTGACTAATATTTAATTTATGCTACTGAATGTCATAGATAGTGTTAAAAGACCCTGTACATGCCTTTCTCGTTGTAACCAAGACGTCGATTGTTTTCTGAGTCTGTCTGCTGGTTATGATTGGGAATGTTGGTACTTTGTGTTGTTGTCTGCAGGTTTGCTGCATCTGCCTGGCTAAGTATGAAAATAATGATGAACTGAGAGAATTGCCTTGTTCGCATCTTTTCCACAAAGACTGCGTTGATAAATGGTTAAAGATAAATGCATTATGCCCTCTTTGCAAGAGTGAGGTTGGTGAGAGCTTAACAGGATTGGTCTCGGGAGAGGATGCCAGCCAACAACGGGTTGAGAATGGCCTCACGAATACCTCAGTTTAATCTGGTTATATACAAATACACAATTTGGATCCTCTCATTTTCCTTAAGAACTGAGAAGTGGATAATCTCCTCTGGCGAGTTAAGAGAGAGAGAGAGAAAGAACAAATCACCTATTTATAAAACTGCTGGACCCCGCTGGAAGTAGTGGGTGATACAATAAACTTTGTTTTTCTCTCTCGTAACATGATACTCATCTTGAGGAAAAGGAAATAATCCAAAGCTCCTTTTATACATATCCACACTTGTAATTTTGTAAAGCTTTTTCTATGCAATCCACTCTTTCCTTGGAAGGATGTTTGGTTGAGTCCATCCTTTCTATTCCATTTTTGTTGATAAGTTTTTTTTTCTTGTCGGAACTGTAAGTTGGCCGATACGAGGCATTGCCTTTTGTAGTCTATTTGTGATGGATGCAGCTGATTGTTCAAGGGAGGCTCATCATGGCCATAAGCTTTATGGTATTGACAATGGGAATTAAAACGCATGGTTTCATGTAAATGGTTCAGAGGAATATATTTAAAATGAAGTTAGTGCCATCTTCATTAGTCGGCAATTATCATGTCTTTGTAAATGTGTTTAGTTGCTATTTTTTTTCTTTTCAGGAGTATTATTTATAGGTATCTTACTAGTTTATTCTATTTTGGCCTTCATTTATGTTCAGTGTTAATCTTGAAACATTCGAGTATAAAACATTTTATTATTTAATCCAATGGTATTTAAAATTGTTCGACATTTGACGTAGTAATAATTGAAGCTGAATTTTTAAACTGGCTATTGAAAAAAGATCGGTGAGTTGATGACAATTAAATCCATATTTAAGATATTTTACGAAAGAATACGCAACATTTTACTTTGCAGCTGTTTTGCTGCCAGTGCGGAGTGAACTGCAATAGTAAGGATGGTGTTATATTTATTCTTATTAGATAATTTAATTTTAAAACTAACTATTAAACTAAAAGTTTTAATTACAAAAATTATATGTATAATTTGAAATTAATTTAAAATTATTTGATACATACACATTAATTAAACATATTTTTAAAATTTATGAAAATAAAGACCTTTTAATTATCATATTTTATATAATTAAAATTTAACAGTTGAATTGATTAAAATTATTTTTTATATTAAGTTATTAATGGTGTAAGAATAAGTGTAACTTACGGTAATGTAATTTGATTCTTTTAAAATAAAAATAAAAACGTATAAATTAAAATATTAAAATTTATCTAAAAAAAATTACACTACTTGCCTAAAATATTGGTTTGAAATATGACATTTATGATTACATAATTTGGCTTCAGTTATATGTTAAATTTAGGAAATTTCTATTTTTTTTTTTGGGGGGGGGGGGGAATTAATTTTAAATTGTTAAAATTACATTTCAAAACTGACTATAAATAATTTTCTGAAGTTTAATTTTTGGTGTAGTAAATTTCTTTTAAAGATTAAGTTTCGGAAGTGATTATAATTTTTTTAAAATATATTAAACTCTTAATAAATTTATATTCTACAAGTGATTTATAAATCACTTTTGAAATTTAAATTTTAAAACATTAAAAAACTCTTTTATTGTATCATAAAAAGGAGGGTTCAAAAATAGTATTCCTAGTTTTTTAACAAAAAAAATATTATAATGTTATCCGATTTTAGTTATTCACATTAAGAATTACATGCTATAATATTAGGAGAAAAAAAATACACCATGAATTTATAATGTGTCAATAGTACAAATTAAACCATGTTTAGTAATGTGGGGGCAAACGCTCCCACTCAATTTTGATATTCTATAATATTCTTATTGTCAACTTGTTTGCATATAATCTAGTTGTAGTATCAATAATAAAGGCTAGCATACGAGAGTACTTTTAGAGGTTCGATCCTATAGTTTTTTTAACTATTTAAGTAAGAATTACATTTTATGAGAATTACTGTTTAGGTTTGTAATATCTCTATCACTAATTATAATATTGTACTAAGGCTTTGCATAGCTTAAATACAATGTTAAATGAATCAGAACTATTTTATCGATAGCTTGATAAGGTTAAATGAGTAATAGTCCTTATATTTGTTTAGACAAACATGGATAAAGAAGTTAATTGAAAAGTGTTTGATTAGGTTTGGTATATGGAGCATTGGTATTTTGACAAACAATTCTTTAGTAGTGATGGACAATATAATTTGAAGAAGGATACAACATCATATGTCATCAAGAAACTAAATAGATTTTGAAAAAGTTAAGAAGCTAAACACTATAAAATTTAAACTTTGGTATATAAAAAAGTTAGAGGAAAGAACAAACTAGGTATAATCATGAATAAGAACTAGAAAAAGAATTTAGTAAATATTAAAGTTAATGGTGGCATGAGTGAATATCCATATCATCAATGTTTTTGCCTTATAAATAAGTTTGGAACTTCTTTTGAAAGAAAAGTTTTGATAGAATTTGAAGAGATTAATTGAAGGCAATCCATCAAAAAAAATAAATTTCATAGGTGGAGATGTGAACAATCATGTTAGTTGGGGCAAACAAATTTACAAAATCTCTTGATGATTTTAGCTTTAGAGACCTAAATGAGGGAAGACAACCTATTTTTACTTTCTCAATGGCATATACTATATTTCAATACCATAAACACTATTTTAAGTTTGAGAGAAAAATCTTATCATTTATAAGAGTAAATTTTCAAGATCCTAAATTAATTTTTTTTTTGAAAAAAAACCTAAATAAAAGAGTTTTCAAGGATTGCAAAATAGTTCCAAGAAAGAGCCTTACAGTATAACATAGGCTCTTCATTTTTTATAACCTCACAAGCTATAATAGATTAAGAAATCAAGCGGCATGAACTCATAAATGATATATATATATATATATATATATATATATATATTAAGAAGTTATTGAAAGCAGGTAATTATAAAGTATAAGGTAATGCTAACCTTGTTTGAGATACTAAAGTAATATTGGATGAATCTAGAGGTTTTGAAGGGAGAGATAAAGAATTTCCCTAATGGGATAGAATTATGAAAAAAAGGGGGGGGTGGTTAAAGACAAATGGAAATATTTTAAAGCTTTATATAAGTGCAATAATGGAAAAAATTAGACCTAGTATCATAATGATACAAATCAGATAAGAAAAGCTTTGAATGAGGGAAGATCTAAGGGTTTTGAGGAGTTTTACTAAGATCTTGGAATAAAAAATAGAGAAAGAAAGATTTACAAGCTTGTTCAAAATAGGAAATAGAAATCAAGAGATTTGAATTAAGTAAGATGTATCAAAGATGATGAAGAAAAAAATTTAATTATAGATCAAAATATCAAAGAAAAGCAAGAGAATTACTTTACAAACCTTTTAATGATCAACAAGGATCAAATGATAATATAAAAAGATAAAAAAACCCAAGTGGATGAACAAAGTTTGACATATTGTCATGAGTATAGGAAAAGCACTTCAGTATCTATATTTAAGAACTAGTTAGGGACACATTTAAAATTTTATAAATTATAGAGATACACTTATGAATCACTCTATAAAATTATAAGAAAAGAAGATTGAGCAAAGTCTAAGAGAAGAGACAATGATTGTAGAGAATCAATTTTATTTTATAGTAGAAAGATCTACAAATAGAAACTGTATATCTTCTAAAGATGATAGAAAAGTATTGAAGTAAAGAAAAGACTTCTTTTAACTTGAAAAAAATATATAATTGTGTGTCGAGAGAAATATTATGAATGAACTTGTAAAGAAAAGGTACTCATGTAACTCCTATTTGGATAGTAAAAGACATATGTGGTCGAGTAATTAAAAGTGTGAAAACTTCTAATGGTGTATCTTAGAAGTTTCCTATGAGGACAAATTTTCATCATAACTCAATCTTGAGTCCTTACATATTTAACCTATAGTCATAGACATTTACAGGTGATAGATAAAAGAAGTTAACATAAATACCTACTTATTTAACCTATAGTCTTTACATATTTATTCCTAAATATACTTTTTGTAGATAATATAATCCTAGTTGAGGAATTAAGAAAAAAAAAGTTAGCTATAAATTTGAGCTCTAAGGTCAAATCTCAAATTTTGAAATATAAAAATTTTGCCTAAGTAAAAGTAAAATAAAGTATATGCATATTTAATAATAAAAAAAGACACAAAATGAAAATATTTTAGAGGTAAAAATTATATATATATATATATATATATATCACAATTTTTAAAGTTTAAGTATTTAAGATTAATTTTATAAATGATGAAAAAAAATTGAAAGTTATTTGTAATTACAAATTACCTATTAAACTTAAAAAGAAAGATTTATCAAACTATTATATGACTAACTATTTTTTATTAGCGTGAGCCTTTAAAGTGAGAATATAAAAACAAAGTAGGAATTATAAAAATAAAAATGTTTAGATATACAACTATAGAAGAAATGATCGTATAAGAAGTAACTATATAACAAAAAATATTAAAAATGTATCTACTAATAAAAAGATAGAAAATCAATTAAGATAATTTAGATATGTACAGAGAAAGTTGTTGAAGATAATAGTGAGAAGAGTCAATTGCTTAATTTTTTAAAGCTTGTAAAAATAAATGAAAAGAGACTTAAAATAAATTTTATAAAAAATATTCAAAAATATTTCGTAATAAATAATATTTGTATTTTTATCAAGTTGAACAAAATTGTCTCTTATGTAGCTAACTATATACTTCTAATACTCCATTGATTCAATAATTATACAAATTCACGGTTGGTCAAATTACCATGATAAGATAAGCATGTTATAAATAATATTAATAGTTTGATATGAGTTTATAATAAATTAGTGTAGCTCTGCACAACCAACGAAGATTTTCTAATAAATTAATGTTAACTAAAATTTCTTTTATTCTTGATTTAATAATAAATGTTATTTATATAAATGCATATAACCAATATTGATTTATATTTTAAAAAATATATTATAAGTTAAAATAATTTTGCTTGATAAAATTTTAAATACTTTTAAAAATTAAATTTTGTAAATTTCATCAACTTATTAAAAATTCTTAAACTAATAATTAAATTGATGAAATTTGCTTTCTCTAAATATTTTATTAAACAAAATAAGTTTATTTATGTTTGATAAGATTAGCTGAAAACTTATAATTTATAATTGATAGGCTAGCTAAAAATTTATAACTGACTTATTGGATTAAAGTTATTCTATAAAACTAGTTATACAAGCTAAAAAGTTTTAAATGACTAAAAGAAAGTGTTAAACTAAAAGCATTAATTAATTAAAAAGTTAAGGATTAATATAGAAAAAAAATTGTTAAACTAAAAGCTACTTGAAATAACCTTTTCATAATTTAGTTTCAAAAGTTATTAACTTTTTTTACTTTTTGTTTATTAAAAAATCTACTAGCTTATTGAAAACAAATAAACTCATCAAAATTAATTTTTAAAGTGAATGATGTCTCTCAATCATACACACATGCGCAAGTAAATTCTAAAATTAGTCTTCAAAATTATATGAATTGGACAATTTGACCCTTCAAAATTTAAAATTCATTTGATAGCCTTTAATATTGTGATCCATAGTCATGTGATTATTACCTAATTATGAATTACTGAGTTTTTCCTCATTAAGTGACATGTAGACAGCATGTAGAAAGTTAATGTGGTTATAAAACATTGTCAAAGTTTTAATATGACTTTTCTTTTCTTCTTCCCTTGTTCTTTTTCTTTTGTTGCTATTTTCCTTACTTTTGTTGCTACTCTTCCTTTGCTATTCCTCTTTTACTATTTCTTGTCTTCATCCATCATCAACCGTATGGAGTCTATGGACCAACGAGAGAAGAAAAACAAGTTCCTAGACGAGTAGGATACCTTATACCGATTTGTTCATGTGATTGAAGCCTTAATGAACTCAGGAATGAGGAAACAATAAAACTCCTTTGAAATTGTCGTCAATTACAACAGAATTAGAGAGATATCAGACAACCCCAAGAAAGACCAAGTGGCAAAAATTAGGATTTTTTCGGTAACTTTCGTTCTTCTGCAATGAAATGAGCATAAAGTTGAGTTAAGCCCTTTTTTTCTTATACAACAATGTCATTAACACGTGAGATCTAGGCAATTTGTAACTGACAAGTAATGTTGTTTGATAATAAGAACAAAATAAATGGATGGATATCAAGACCTATCAAGTATATTTTATAATTTGAAGGACTAATTGCCCAATCCATACAATTTCAAAGACCAATTTGAGAGTTTCCTCATATATAACATTATCTTTAGCACTCAACTGAACTTTAAGATAATAAAGATGTTGTATTGTAATCTATTGCAAAAGCTCCAAAGTAGCTCTCACCATGGTACAATCCAGCAAGTCAACAAACCACTTATCTGTCCCAAGCGAAAATCACCTTTACTTATGTGTTTTTCTTTTACCTCTCTCTCTCTCTCTCTGGATTCCCTTCAGGGCCTTCCAATTCACCAATTCATGCAATTGAAAGGGTCACGATTGCAAGAGGCACAAGCAAATCATCAAAAGAAAGCATTTCAAACCACAATAAGCAAAACAAGACAAAGCTGGGAACTATACAAACCATAAAATCCATGAGTGAGACGTCACCACTAATATTTTCCTATTTTTACACTTATTATATCCAACCAAACCAATTGTGAATAACAAACCAATTCACGAGACATTGGCTGATGCCATGTGACTAGATGAAGCACTGGCTTCGCCTGCTACATTCTTCTGTTTCAATGAAGCAGAATCAGATGATAATCCAGATTCTGAAACATCACCAATATCCAGTGTCTCTGGAAGACTTCCAGAAGATTCAACACCGTACTGTAAGATGAAAACAATAAACCCTCAGTTGGATTGGCAACTAAAAGTGTTTCAGAAGTAATTCATTCACTTCCATGTGATATGACTACTTAAAGTATTCACTCCTAACCAAATGTTCAACAATTGACATAATTAAATTAGATAATTCCATCAATTAATTATATCCAAAAATTGATAAACTAACATTAATTGGCATAGCGGATTTAAAACAGTCACAAACATTCAAAGCAAACCGAGTGTTGAAACAAACATACAGAGAATACATAAAATTTGAATAAAATATGTCTAACACAATTTAGAGTTAAAAAAATGGAATTTAAAAATTTTGAACTTGGCGTGCAATCTCAGATCATTTTGGCAGGTTCAACAACCAAAAGATGAAAACTCTTTCTGTCCAATGTCATCTGGAAAGACAGTCTTCAGGAAGAAAAGGAATGGAAGCAGAAAGGGGAAAAAATGGATGTGGTATCAATCAACTGTTTCATCTACATTTAATTACATATTGTAATGGCATCACGTGATCCGTGTAGCCAATATTGGTTGTAGTTTTTATTTTAAACCAATATTTCCAATCAATGTCACAGCAAATTATGTGACTCAACATACATAATCAATTGGAAGAATAAAAATGTCGCACTCGATGAACAAATCTAAGTCCAAAAGCTAACAACTTCAAAACTATACCTCAAGTTGGCTGAGCATGTCAATAGCAGCATCCAAGTCACCCTGGTTTACATTATAGACATCTAAAAGGGACTGATCAGATATACCAGGAAATGCCATCCTAAGACATTCTATATCCATATCAAGGTCTTCATCTAGCAACTGCTTATCTGTCAACTCTGCCGCATTCCGTGATGGTGAGGTGTAGGAGCTTGAAGCAGGCTGGCTTTTCACTAGAAAAGCGTCCGGTTTCAAGAGCCTTTCCGAGCTAGAGTCGATATGTTTCTGATCATTTGCGGTTTCATGATGAGTCTGAAACCAAACAGTTCCATCATAATTCTTGGAATCTTTTTCTGTCAAAGATGTTCTACCAGCTGCCTCCCTTTTAGAGAGAGGAATATAAGCAGCTGCATATGGATTCAAAGATGATGTTTGTGGCTTCATGACTTGAATTAGATGTAGATTAACCACAGTCCTTCTTCTTGATCTTCCTTTCCTTTCCACATATACAACAGAAAGAATTAGGGGTTAAGTCAAACAAATTCAAAAGGTAAATTCTTTTCGTGGAGGAGGAAAAAATAACAGAAAGAATCCAAAGCAAGATAGAAATAGAAAGAGTGAATAAGCTCTAAATCAGTAACTACATAGCCAAAACACAAGATATTAATGGTGATTCAATAACTAGATTTTCTTGAAACGCTTTCAACAAATGCATGTGTAAGTAACTAGTAAGATTCAAATTCAATTATATATTTACTAAGTAAAAAATTAAAATAAAACCCGATCAAGAACTGGTTCTGGGAAGATCAAGAAACACTAGTAAACAAAAACGGTGAAAATTTGACTTTTTCGCAATCCCTTTTAAACACTAACCCGGTCAAGATTAACAAAACATCAAAACCAAACTTCAATCAAATTTCAAAATAACGAGTGAAAAAAACACAGAATTTGCAGTGACACCACGATTCAAAAATTATTGACTCGAAACCAACAGTATCCAAATTTATTTTTATTTTAGTTGTTTCAAATTCAGTGATAATCTGATCGAAACTTCATCGCCTGCAAGAATTTTGATTCGAACTGCAGACAAAACGACAAAAAGAAGAAGAAGAAAGGAAATAAAAATTGGGAACAAACCAGTTAGAAAGAAATCACAAAACCCTAATTTTGGAGATCGCTGTGATTGGAAGGGAGAGAAAACTAAGATCAAATGATTGAGACAGAAACTATTATTTTCTCTTATGCGTAACTGTGATTTGGATAGAAATGGATGTATGCATAAATACATAAATAATTTTATATGCAAAAAATATATTAAAAAATTAAAATTAAAACCCACGAATGTTTTGGCTTTTAATTAAGGAGTAATCGTGTCATATAAAATAAACTCAGATCTACATGTTTTTAAAGGAGAAAATTTAAGTACATTTCATTTCAATTATAAGTTTTTTGGTGTTATATTTTAATTAAGGTTATATTTAGATGTGTGGTAGAAGATAGAATGGAGGGTAATTAAATAGTCTTATTGTTTAAATTTTATCATCTTCTATTTAAAATTTTCACTTTTGCTCTTCTCATTTTTTATTTTTTTTTTATTTTTGCTATTTTTGTTCTTCTCAATTTGGAGATACATTGTCAACCTATGTTTATAAAGTTCTATTTAGACTTTTTCACTTGTTGGTATCGTAGAGTAATGGAATAAAAGTTTTTTTAGAAAATTTTTTTTAAAATTTAATTATGGAAAGATGTAAAAATAGTTAATTTTGAAAAAGTAGAATATAATTTCTTAAATGTAAAATCTTAATTCCGAAAACTTCTTTTCAAAATGTAGAATCTTTCAAACAACTTTTTTTTAAATAGTTAATAATTTTTAAAAAATGTAAAAATAAAAAATCTTAATTTTAAAAATTTATTTCAGAAATATAGAAACTTAATTTTGGAAATTTTTTTATGAATATAGTTAATAATTTTGAAAATTAATTTAATTTCAAAAACTTACTTTTGAAAATGTAGAACTTAATTTCAAAAGCTTGTTTTAAAAATTAATTAATAATTTCATGAATTAATTTTTAGACGTGTAAAAACTGAAATTTAATTTAATTTTAAAAATTTATTTCCAGAATTTATTTATTTTTTTGGCTAAACGTCAACATTTTATTAAAGACACTATATTAAGTGTATTCAAAATATAGTCTACTTTAAATTTTCAGAAAACATTAATAATTATTTTTAAAAAAATTGCAAGTTTAGAAGCCTAATTTAAAAAATTAATTCCTAAAATGTAATATCTTGTGAAAACTTATTCCCTAAAAAAATGTAAAGGTTGATAAGTTGAAAGAGAATACAAGACATTATTTGAAAAGTAATCAATGCTTAGAATATACTTAAAAAAATGTGGTGACAGAAGAATAACAAAACTTAGAACAATAAAAAAAAACAAAATACAATAAAATTAAGAGTGAAAATTCAAAAGAAAAAAAATTATTTCAAAATCTTAAAACAAAAAAACTGGAGTCATTAATTTCAAAAAATGTTTTCTATTGTAATTTGTTTAATAGTTTAAGTCATTGTTAGGAACATTTTAGAAAAAAAAAAATAATAAAATTACTGTAGCTTGAAGAAAAAAAAAGGTTCAACAATCAATCCCCTTGTGTTTAAGATTCAAGCCTAGCTTATTTATTATTTATTTAAATAGATCAGCTTTTAATATTTGACTTGACCTTTTTAAAAGTGCAGTATAACCTTAGTATACCTAAAGACTTAAATTGCACCTTTTATCCTTATAATTTGTTCTATTTATAATTTCTTACATTTTATCTTTATGACCTAGTTTTAAACACTAAAAGCACCCAAAATTTTTTTTTAAAGGTAGTCAATTTATACTATACTTTATTTTTAAAATAAAAAAACAGTTTTTTTTTTTAAAAAAAAAATCAAACATGCTAAAAAACTCATCATTCTTGCATCCATTATTTTCATCCCTGCAACGTAGCAATCAATATATTAAATTGGATAATTAACGATGCAAGGGAGGTTTTGATGATTAAATTGGATATTTTCTTTCGCTAAATTTGAATTTCTGTACAAATATAATAGATTGAATTATTCATGAATTGAGCAATCTATACATTAACATGCTCAATCTGAAAAAATATGCATCTACACATTCAAAGAGCATCCAAAAATTCTCCATCTCTCCTTTAGAGCTGAGTATAAATAACTAATAATCATAAGTTTTTATCAGAAAACAAAGCATTTATTACGTGGCACAGTATAAAAGTATAACAAATGCTTTATTTTTCAACAAAAGCTTACTATTATTAGTTTCTTAAACTCAATCCTAAGGGATAAGATTAACAAAACCGTAAAAAATATGGAAGGTAAATCTGAAGAAGAATACACTTGAGCTGCATTTACAAAGGGCAAGATCTATGGAATGTACTAGGGACAGTGCTACAATTTAATCTTGGTGGGGAAAAATGAAGGTGCAAATGTTACTTGAATGCTATTCAATCTCGCGATGTAGCAGAATATTCAAAAAGAAGGCGTTTGGATGGAGCAGATTGTAGGAGAACGCGCAAACGACTTGTAAGAAGATAGCTCAAGGTCCACTGCATTGCCATCTCAGACTCCTTCATTTGCCTAACAAATGTGGCCTGGAAGAAAAATAGTTGCTTTAGATAATCATGAACTAGTACAAGGGAGTAATATTAGAAACCTGCAGCTTTAACAATGGTGAGGGATTGGTGAAAACCAGTGAAAGGATTTGGTGTTTCACTGTACAACAACTAATTGATGCTTCTATGGATGTAGCAAGTAGCCACAAACAACTACATTCTGCTTAATGGAAACCAAACATCTTCCGAGTAAAATATGATCCAAGAAAATTTACTGGCCAGGAAAAATGACAATATAGGCATATACCACAACATTTAAATCTAGGAATTTTTTGAATGGGTATCTTCTGTTTATTTATAAGGAAAAAGGAAAAGAATATAGTTATTCTTTACCCTCTATTGATACAGTTTTAAATAATCGACACAAGAAAACTGAAATTAATGGTAAAATAGGTAGGTCTTGGGAAGCAAAGTTTTGAAAGATTTGCAAGTTTTATTGTGATTACCTGAAGACGTTTTCCAAGCTGGACTTCAACTTCTGTACCAAAAGATATATTACTGGCAAGCGACTTGAGAGGATCTGCAGTAGGATCAACAGAAACCAAACTAGGGATCTGGGGTGCATAAACTAGCCTCCACCTAGCCTGGCCAAACTCTCCTTTCCCTTCTATTCGCGGCATCAATTTTTCCAGGGTTGCAGTGGCAAGCTTTTCGAAAGCAAGCTGACCATTGCCTTCCAAAATGGATTCAGCTAGCTGACTCTCAAATCTTCTGGCAGCCTGCATAGGTAGAAAACATTTAATAGGATCATTCTGCCTGAACATCAAATCATGAAGGCATTGATTTTCACACATGACACTATTAACTGACTTCACACTCAACTTATTTAGAGAAATATTTATATCTAGCAGCACATGGTGATTTTATGTGACTGGAATGTAGAGAATCCGTTAATTCAGGTAACGATACTAGGCTCCAAGTATTTTGCCCCAACCAGGGAATTTTGAGAGATTAATCAACATGAGAATCTGATTGAATACTAACCGGATTCAAATAGTGTATATGAAATCTAAGATTTCAATTCGATGTTTGTACTCGAGATAACTGTTACTCGGATGTGAAACAGACAGTATATCCTATCCTTAAGTTAGTTCATATATCAAGAAAACAACTTAAATAACTCATTTACAATATTTCATTTTGTTAGTAATTGCTGAGTTATATTTTTTTCTTGTAATTGAATGTTTCGATTTATTTGTGTTAGAGAAATGTGAAATTGCAAATCCAAATAATAATAATAATAATAAAAGGCCACATTTTTATGTCAGAATTGAAGTGCAAGGCTCTCTTAGAACAGAAAGAGCAAGGATTCAATAGAGCAGGAGCAAGAAGTCTGACACAAACAGTTAAATAGTTTCATCATAGTTTCCGGTTATATTTTGGAATAGGAGATTAGGAGGTAATGTCCTTCATGTTTCCAACTCATGGTGAATGTCCTTCATGTTTTCAACTCATGGTGGAAAGCTAACGTTTCTCAATTTAAATAGTTTTTTCATATTTTCCCTTATTATTTTTCAAACAGATAAAAATTAGGCTAAACTTACAGAGTAAGTGTAATTCTTAAACAATATCATCTTCTCTATAGGCACTTTATGTGTGTTTGACGGACAGTAACAGCACAGATTACAGGACAAAAAAAGTTGACTTTCAAACTCCAAATTGAGTGAGCGGGATAATAACATGGACATGTATGATTTACCTCAGTAGGTGAGAGTGAATCATGTTCCACAGAACGTGTTGAGGTCACCACAAGTTTGTCCTGCCAATTGCTAGCTCTACCTTGAATTCTAAATTGCCACTCGGATCCAACCAAAGCTAGATCTAGCATTGGATCTAGTCCATACTCGGGCTCAAACTTTGCAATATTTAAATGCTCTCGTTTCAACCTCACCTGCATTTGAAATGAATTGTATCAATATCAACAGTGTTATACAAGACAAGTCAAAAGAAAACTAGCCAAAACAAGACTACCGCAGGATACAATTTGTAGGAGTTATAAAAACAATATGTTACACATACCTGTGTTGCAACTAGATCAACTTCACCATTCTCAAAAGTCAAAATGCCTCTAGGTTTAATCCATTTAGGATGGGCCGGACCATTCAACTCAAGCTCTCCACTTACAGCAAAATTAAGAATCAAAGGATAAACTATCTTCAACTCCGGTCCAAGCACCAGCTTTAAATCACTAAGGCAGATTTCTACATTTGGTTTAATCTGCACTTGCTCCATCTCCTTTTCAACTTGAGTTGACTTATTAACTGCTCCTGTTGGTTTTTAGGAATAAAATATATCATAATATATATTAACAAGTCATTGTGAAAAACTCAATTAAATTGTGAACAACATAAGCAAAAGTAGAAGATCAAGCAATCAAATGATTGATCCCAGTATCTCCTAAGGTTTATGATGAATTATGTGGCACAGTACAATATAGTCTAAAATAGTTGTCATTTGAAAATGTTTAACCCTCCTAAGTATTCAGCCCTTGGGGACTATTTTTGGAAGGTTCATTGGACAGCAATACATAATATAAGTATTACACTTGATTAAGAAGCAGTGCAAAACATGCACTG